TCGTGTTTCCGATTTTCGCTTTCGTATTCTTGCTTTGTCGATTCCGGCGATTTTCCGATCCGTAGCAGCGCGTTTATAACAGTTTCATAGATTTCATGATGGAATTAGTTAATTAGATTTGTATGTATGAAGTGAAATTTACCTTTATTGCCCTCAATGGTATGATAAGATAAATGAAATAGGAGGGGTAGTTTGGTCTTAAATGATGGAGTTCAAAGTCCATGATCAATTCCCACCTAAATAGGTGAAACTTTCAAATCCGTAGGATCCATGGATTTGGACTTTTAAAGTTCGTGGGACCCACAAATTTTTTGCTCCTAAATGCATCAAGCAAACAATAAATTTTGGACAAATTTCACGATGGATCCAAATCACTCACCAAATCTATAAAGCAAACAAGCCCTAGGTTTTCACAATCCACAGGTTATAGGTTGATGTGGAAGATGCGTTCATAAAAACTAATAAAAAAAGTATTTCGAAATGGAATAATATGAGATATATTTGTTTAATGTTAATTAAACGTGTCCCCCCAAACACTACAGACCAATTCTCTGAGTTGTTGATCTTAAATATTCCTGCAGTACTGCACATAGAGTCAGATGATCTAACTAATAAGTATGTTTAAGAAATTGGGACATTATTATTAGAAGAAAAACAATTTGAACTCGTGAAGGTGGCTCTATTCTCTGTATCAGATTTGAGATCTCGCGGACAACAGATTTATTTTTATTTTTTTCTCAAATTAATCTGTCTTGTTTAATTTCTGTGTATTTCATATAAGAATGGGCACAGTTAGCCATAATTTTGGAGTGTTATTAACTTATTTTTTGATGAATTGTTATTAACTTATTATAGGGAAGGGAGCTACTAAACGTACGGCTGAGATGAACGTGTCGGGCGAGGGCCGCGATCTGCCACCTTAAATAATATGCTTCGAGTATTTAGATGTGGATTGCCAATCCACCAGATATTCTGCCCACTCAAATATAGCTTTTAGTTCAACTGTTGGATTTCCAATTGAGAAATCAGGATTAATTAGTTTGATTTGTAGTTTTTTTATTTTTGTAAGAGGATGTTCAACCATTCCGAAACATCAATTGCTATTTTATATGCTATTAGAGTTTGTGATGGTTGAGAGATATTTTTTATATTTACGATTTTTATTATAGGCGGTTTATTTAAACATAAGGTATGAACATAAGGTATGACACTTGACCTGTAGAAATTTTAGATCTATGAGATCAATTTTGTTTGAACATATATGTAAAAATCATGGTTGAAAAAGGCACGATTAAACTTACACTTAGACACGCCTAGGCGCTAGGCAACGTCAAGACGTGTCGCCTAGGGGCTTCGCAGTTAATTGAATATTGGGACCATGTCGATAGAGTAAGACGACACTTAGGTGTCTCGTATACATAATTGGATGTCTCCCCAAAGGTATGAATTCTGCCTCGCTGACTTTAGTTCCCAAAGTCCCAAATGCTGATCAGCTCACTTCTTTTCGACCTATTGCATGCATAAATATCCTATACAAGATAATTGCAAAGGTTTTGGCCAACAGGTTAAACTAGTTCTCCCTTCTCTTATTAGCCGAAATCAGTCAGCTTTCATTCAGGGACGTAGTATTTTAGAGAACATCCTCATGGCTCAGGAGGTAGTGCAGAATTATCATAGAACCCACCTGTCCTCTAGGGCTGCTGTCAAAGTTGACCTCAAAAAGGCCTTTGATTCTGTACACTGGGATTATCTCTTAAGTGTAATGAGGTTAATGGGCTTCCCTGATATCTTCATTAAGTGGATCACTCTTTGTCTCAGTTCTGCCACATTTAGTATTACTGTGAATGGAAGTCTTTTTGGTTTTTTCAATGCTGTGAAAGGGGTTAGGCAGGGGGATCCTCTCTCCCCCTACCTTTTCACCATTGCCATGGAACCTCTATCTGGTTTGCTCAACAAGGCAGCTGCAACTGGTCATTTCCCCTACCACCCTCAATGCAGACAGATTGGGCTCACTCATTTGAGCTTCGCCGACGACCTCTTAATCTTCTCAGAGGGATCAGGTATGGCCTTGAGGGGTATAAGACAGGTTCTGGATACTTTCTATCATCTCTCAGGTCTGCAGTGCAACCCAGACAAATGTGAAGTGTTTTTTTGGAGGATTTGCTCACCAGTTTAAACTTGCTGCATTACAAGTTTCTGGATTTAAAGAAGGGAAGTTACCAGTTAGATACTTAGGTTTACCTTTGACCTCAAGGAAGCTTTCTAGTGGTGAATGTGCTGCTCTTGTAGACAAGCTGACTAAGAGAATTAGGGGGTGGAGAGCAAAGAAGCTTTCTTATGCAGGCAAGATTCAACTTGTCGAGTCTGTTCTCTACGCAATTATTCACTACTGGATGGCCATCTTTATTATTCCAAAAAAGGTGCTTAAGAGTATACAGAGAATTTGTTCTAATTTCTTATGGCATGGTGATGGTGTTGGTCGTGCTAAAGTTGCCTGGGAATTGGTGGCCTTGCCTAAGAAGGAGGGGGGACTTGGCCTGAAGGATCTGAATACATGGAACACTGCTTGTTTAGCTAGGCTAATCTGGTTGTTAATGATACAGGGAGGCAGCTTCTGGGTTGCGTGGTGTACTAGATATCGGTTGAGAGGTCATTGTATCTGGGAAGTCAGACCCACCTCTTCTGGATCTTGGATCTGGAAACAGCTTCTCAAGCTCAGATCGTGGCTGCAGTTCAGAATGTGTCTTGAAGCGGATGGTAGTGTATCCTGGTTGGGCAGAAATCTCAAAATCTTTTCTGTCTCGTTGATTTGGAATACTATCAGACTAAAATCCCCTGAGGTGTCTTGGTGGAGAGTGATCTGGGGACGTTTCATTTTGCCACGAAACAGGTTTATTGTTTGGTTGATCATATTGAACAGGATTGCTACGCGTGACAAGTTGAAAGGATGGGGATTGATCACTGATGATTCTTGTCCCCTGTGCCAGGTTGCCGTGGAATCTCGTCAGCATTTATTCTGTGAATGTTCCTTTTCTTTAGCTTTCCTTGTTTCACTTCTCAAGAGACCAGTGCCTCTTCCTGGTGCTTGGGATGATCTGTTAAGGCTTATGATTGATAAATCTGCATAGGGTACTCAAGCTGGATTGGTTGAGTGTTCTGTATGGTGTTGGTGCTTGCGTTTTATTTGGCAGGAGCGTTGTCGTCGGTGTTTTGGAGAGCAAGCTCATTCCCCTGAGGATCTTAGTGAGATGCTGCGAAGGGAGATTAAGCTATTCAGCTGTGGTAATGTTGATTTCCAGCAGGCAATCAGCGGGATCCCTGCTTTCTGTGAGCTGTGCTAGCTAGTAGGCTTTTCGGTTTTGTCCTTTGTTCTTTAGAGTCAGGATGTAAAGGATGGTTGAGGCTTTGCCTTTGTATTTTTTCGACGCTTACTGCTTCTTGGCAGTAACGCTGGTGCTTAATTGAAATCAACTAATTACCGCAAAAAAAAAATATCAAAGGGGGAATTAGGATCATCTACAAACTAAATCTTCTATATGAATATCTTTTATAGCTAAAGAACTTGGTGAGCTACTTAGCTATATGTTTCTATAAATTATTGAGCTAAGTTTCTTTTTGTTAATTATTAGATAATTATTAATCATTTTAACATATAACTGAAAGTTATGTAAATTATTGTTTAATTCATCATGTAGGCAAGCTAGGCGCTAGGCGAGACACTAAAAGAGAGGCGAATAAAGCTTTCTTATTCATCTATTTGTGAGTACAAGATGATTCGCTATTTATAAGCACACATCACATAATCTCTAGTTTTCTTGCAATCAGTATACATGAATCTGAGATAAGTAGCCATGAAGGAGCAAATGAAAATGAGGTGATGGGTTACAAATAACATTCAAATGTACGCATATATTATGGTTAATGGTCATCTATATATTTTGCATAAAAAATGTCATCTATATATAATGAATATTTACGTAACAATAAAATCCATCTTGAATTTTTTCTAACAACTCGAGTTATTAACCAATGTTCGACAAGTTTGACTAGAAATGATATATGTAAACATTAAATCTTTAAGCTTGTATTGACTTATAAATTGGCATTTCCTTTGAATCCTACACGCAAACATCCACTAGATATATTACAAAATTTATAAGGGCTGATAACACTATAAATTCCCTTCTTTCGTTAAGCCTCATATAATCTTGGAGTAATACGGTATATTTAGTTTTAAGCGAGCATATAAACGATTATTTGTGTCAATCTCAAAAATCAATCCAAAACTCACCATGCAAGTACACTAAGAAAATAAAGACCAAAATTATAATCCTAAGAAATAAATCTGTCTGCTAATGATGATTCATATAAATATATTCATTTTCCCACTTTGGATGGCATGTGATTCATGGCTAAGCTGTTCACCTCTCATCATTGTTGTAAAGCCCCAACCGAAATATTCCCACAATATAATACCATTTGTGCACTCTCTTCCTTCTCTTGTGATCCTAAACAATGACTGCAGACAATGTACGCTGATAGAACTGCAGGAATTCATATTATTGTTGCTTAGAAAACAAGGGAATATGACTGTGTGTTTTGTCTTTGAAAATGCATAAAATAGCATAGCATGCAATAATAAGAACAAAAGACACATTGCTGGTGGGAGAGGCAAAAGGCAGTGGGATTTGTTTGGCATGCCCCTCGATCCAAACCCACAGATGCCTGCGTTGCTTTGCTTTGGTTAGCCAGCTTCACACAGCTTTCCCCACTTTGGTTTCTGTGTTTAATAATTAATTACCAAAAGGAATCTTTAATTCTTCTTCATGACATGATCAGCTGGATTAGAGAGAGGAGAGAGAGAGAGAGAGAGAGAGAAAGCTATCTATAATTATTCTCTACCAAAAAGAAAGGGGAAAAGTGGGGGAAATGAAGGAAAAACAAAATCTGCATATTTTATGGCAATCTAGTGGAGTATATACTGATGGGAGAATGTGAAGGCAAAGTCTTCTCCTCCTATAGCAAACAAAGTTCACATTTTTCCTCCTCTCCCTCCCCTCCTTTCTTCTTGTATTCCTCTTGGGGCAAGATCAACAAAACCCCAACCAACTGTTGGCTTTTGCCCCTTCCTGCAGAGGTTGTCCTTCTTCTACAGTATCATCAGAGGCAAGCAACAGCAGCAGCTCCCTCTCCCATCTTCTCATACCAACTCCTTCATATTAATCAGTTCAAGGTGAGCAAGTTCAAACATATGAATCAGCTTCAGGTCTCACTCTCAATACCCAATAGTCACTTTTTAGTGTTTGTTTAAGATTCAAAGTGTTACATGATGGTGAGCTCACTTGTAAAGCAAAGATGGAACATTTTTCTTAATTAACTAACATATGGGTTGTCAATTTTCTTGGATCCAATGATAATTGATCCCCATGTCTATGGAGTCTTGTGGTTTCTTCATCTGATGAGACAAGGTAAAGGAGGGGAAAGAAAAGAAAAGAAAAGAAAAGAAAAGAAAAGAGCTTTCTTGGACAAAGTTGCAGTTCTTCATTAGTGTGGGGGATTTCCTGTCCTAACTATCACATGGTCAAAAGTCCACCTATCAGCACAAATCCTCTTTTTTGGGATTGCTTTTCATTTATGTTTTTTTGTGTAGTAATGAAGGGAATTGAATGATGAATTGATGACTGACTGTGGCCCAACTGAATTTGAAAGGAATAAGTCATAAGCAATTTGTCTAGCAAACAGACAAAAAAATCACAGTACTACTACTACTACTTCGAGAGCCAGCCTTGATATTTTCTTCATCTGTGTCTCTTTGGCCTCTATTCAGGTGCCTGCAGAAGAGTGAACAAGCAGTTGCTGTGTCTGTTGGTGCCATTCCGCCAACACATCTGGATCAAGATCATGCAATAATCTCCAGAACAAAAAACCCCACAGGAGAAGGATATTATTTATTTATTATTTTTTTTTTTACTTTCCTTTGTGTTGCTACTTCTCTCCACTGCCTAAAAAATGGAGAGAGTTCTGAAGCCTTATGACAAGGAATACATGAGGCTAGCCATGTTAAAGCATGAAGAAACATTCAGACAACAGGTAGCCCTTCCTCCTTTTATTTTAATTTCACCATCCCAAGTTCTGGAGTTTCCTGTATTTGAATCAATGTTTTACCCTTTTGAATCCAAAAGTTAACATATCTTCTGTGTTGATTTTCTTCTTCCAGGTTTATGAACTGCACAAGCTATACAGGATCCAGAAACTAATGATGAGAAGCTCTGGCAAACCCAACAAGACCATGCCTCACAATCATCAGATTCCTTCCAACAGCCATCAGGATTTCTGGAAAATTTCCTCCAGGATTAATGGGTTCAGTTTCAACTCCAGGAACAACATTATAGATGCTCCTCCTCCTCCTAATCAGCTTTATCGTGACAAGTTAGCAATGGAGCTGGACTTGGAAAGGCAAGCAGAGGAATTTGCAGAGTCCAATGGCTGCCGCGGAGGGGATCATGTCGATAAACAAAAGAATGGAACAGTTATCATGGAGGAGTGTGAGATTGAGTTGACATTGGGGCCAGCTAGTTTTTGTCCAAGTAGGAAGAAACCATGTCGAGAAGAAGCAGCGTTGACCTCAGAATCGGGAGGTGGAAGCCTGTCTTCATCCTCCACTGGGTCGAGTCAGATTAACAGGATGAGCAATAAAGACAGCAGAGCAGATGATCCTGAAAATGGGATGATGATGAAGAAGCAGAAGCAGAGTACTGTTGGAATTATTGGTAGTAATAGCAATGTTGTTAACAATAACAATAATCATAATGAACAGTTGAGAAGGCAGCAACAGGATCATAGATTAAAGCAGCAGCAGCAGCCTCCCTGGCTTTGCCAGGTTCTGAGCTTGAATATGACTTGAAATAAAGAAGTTTCATGTCAGCTGGTGGAGATTTGTGAATTGGATGGGTGGAATTGGGTCATTTGAAACGTTGGTGGGTTCTATTTTTCTTTGTTCTTGTCTTCTTTTCCATGGTTAATTATTTTCCATGGGTTGATGGAAGAGTTTCAGGAAGGATATGTCAGACTTTGTTGTAAGGATGACTTGACTGCTTTGTTTGGGGCTCTCAACTCAACTGGTCTTAGCTAGCTAGCTCCAGATTTGTCAATTGACTGCAGATTTTCAGGCTGGGAATCTAAAATTTTAACTCCCTCTGTCACCACTCTTTTCTAGTATATGTAGATCACCTTTCTCGCGATTTATGCGTATTATCCTTATGCAAAGGTCATGCTAGTTTTCTTTATACTGTTTAAATTTTATCGGATGTCCCCGATATTAATTACCTCGGAAAATGATGTTCAGAAACAGACAGCATGGAAATTTCTGATATGGGTTTATGGCTGTCAATAGAAGCTATAAAAGAAGAAACGAAAAAAGAAGGCAGGGGAGGGAGGATCTTATTATGAACAAATCAATGGAGGGAGGGAGGGAGAAACAATGGTTAATATAAGAAGCCCAGATCAGTTTTTATCAATTTGGGAAGTCATCTTTCTGCAAATTTTCTATTCTTTTTCCCTTCCCAGTTTCTGGAACCATATGGGTTTTGCCTTTATTCAGAAAGAACTAGTGAGTGGGTAATCCAAGGTTCTTGCTTTGTGCTTCCCCTGAAAAAAGTTTGAACCATGAGTCAATTACCATAGTTGACACATAAGAGTTCTATTTTGATGACACCATGGAAAAAGAAGGAATCTTTTTTTTTTTTGGTTTACTAACCCCACCCTCCGCCATTGAAGCAGGGCTGGTTTTAGTTTGTCGGCCACTGAATGAACAATAGATTCCCTTCCTCACCCGCCCTCAATAAATCAAATGGTCCTGCCCTGAAACAATTGGAAAGAATGAAAAGATAAAAGGGGGGAAAGAAAAAGGGGAACGGTACTCTGGCTTTCGGAGATTGCATAAAGTGACCCCTTTAATTTTTTGTGTTCCAATATATTATCATCATTGCAAAGTGTTTAATCTTGAATTTGTAAATGTCAACAAATAGTTTATAATCACTTCATCAAATAATTTTAATCACTCATTTAAATAGCTTACAAAAGATTATCAAGATTTACAAATCCTTTATCTGATACATAGCACAAAATTTAAAGACTTTGTTGTGGTGACTTAGTTACCGCAACTTGGAGAAAACAGGGATAAAATACCCCGGGTACTACTTAAATTTGAGAATTGGGATAGACATACAACTTAAGTTTGAATAGGGCGTCGGGTACTACTGAACTCTATTATATGTGCACTCGGTAGCAGTGACGGATCCAGGAATTCTACGTAGGGGTGTCCTTTATTAAAAATTAAATTAAATTAAATATTAGAATTAAATTAAATAATTATTAAATTTGAAAATATCTAACTAATAAAAGTTACATTAAATGTTTTGACGTGTTCCGTCAAATGATAAAATACATTTGGTGTTTATACTGCCCAACAAATATCTCTCGACATATCCTACTAGACATGGATATCCCGTAATTGAGTTTAATCGTTAGGTTTTGAAAATAATTTGAGATAAGAGAATATTTACTATTATATTTGGATCTAAAACACAAGAATATTTTGCTTGTGCTTGTAATTCTATAATTGTCTTACGATGGAGCATCTTTCATGTTATTATTGTTATGAAGAGACTTACAAAAGTAGGGTATCATTGTTATACAATTGTATCATTTTCAACATCCAGAAATCTCCTATCATCCTGCTTTTACGGGTTCTTATCCAAAAGTGTTAAAAGATGTTTTTATCTTTTTTTGTTTAGGCCGATAGTCTTGGTAGAGATTGGGTTGTCCACGGGTGACAAGATGTTGCATTACTACAAAATAGTTTCGTATTGTAGGCCTCTTGTTGTCCACTATTTTTCGACATTACATAGATGGTAAGTGATTTAGTTGACTATTTCCGGAAGCGGTCGATGGTTTATCGGAAGAGATCGATCGTTTTCCGGTAAGTGCCCCAACACGAATTAGGGCGGGTAATACCTGACGTGACGGGTTCAAATTGTCATCACTACTACCCATTTTATTATAGATTTCATTCTTGATAAGCGACTTATTTTTTTCATTTTGCTCCTCGGAGTTTTAACAGAGATGCCCATGTAGTGGCTAATCAAGCTCTTTCATCGGAAATCCGCTTGCTTACGGATTACCGCCTTTTTCTAGAGTTATCCTTGTAACTGAGTCGAGTCTTTATCTCATGCCCTCTGGACTTGCCTTGAAAGAAGAAAAAAATGTGTGTTATTGGAAGTCATTATTTGGGTATTTGTATATGATAATCCACTTCAGACATCAATTAGTTGGTTCATGCCTTTCCCTTGACCTGTTTCCTCCACTTCTTAGAAATGTCCTTTTATCCGAAAAGTTGGTCAATAACTTCAGATCAAATAGTCTTCTTTGCCTTTTTCATTCTTCTTTATGAAACAACATTTAGATAAGATATAGATAGACCCCCTGAAGACTCAAGGCTTATGTTTCTATTATTAATTCAACATATTTATAGTACACAGCAACAGAGTGCAACAGATGAATGGCAACAGAAGAGGAGTGAAATAAGGAACAGAAAGTGGTGGCCAACGTTCCACTACTAACAACTAATAACAAAGGAGAAACTTAGGGACCAAGTCCCTCATCACGGCCCCGCAAGTTGAGGCTCAGTGAGGCGAAACTTGGAGCAGATGTTGGAGAAGGACATTCGTGATAAAGGCTTGGTCAACACATCAGCGAGCTGATCAGGAGCCGATAAGTAATGTACGTGTAGTTGACCTTTGCTGACTTGATCACGAACGAAGTGAAACTATCTCCATATGCTTTGACCGATTCTGAAACACAGGATTATGAGCAAGAAACGTCGCGCCAAGGTTGTCACACCAAAGACCTGGAGCAGAAGGAATCGGCTGTCCCAACTCATGAAGTAAGGTCTTCAACCAAAGAACCTCAGAGGCAAGGGTGGCAAGTGCACGAGACTCACACTCGGTCGAGGAGCGGGCGGCAGATTTTTGTTTGCGAGTGGACCAGGACACCAAGTTTGAACCACAGAAAACTGTGGACCCTGTGATAGATTTGCGATCCTTGGGACAAGAAGCCCAAGAAGCATCCGAATAGCCATGAACATGAAGAGAGGTTGATCTGGAAAACTCAAGGCCACGAGCAAGAGTACCTCGGAGATAGCGTAGAATTCGCTTCACCGCTGCCCAATGATTGTCTGTTGGAGAGTGCTGAAACTGAGAAACATGGTTGACAGCAAAAGATATATCTGGCCGAGTGAAGCTGAGATATTGTAATCAGGCGACGATGTTGCGATACATAGCTGAATCAGAGAATGTGTGAAAACTCAGAGTGTTGCAAACTGACAAACTTCATTAGAGTGCAACTGAGACTCTTAAATACATCGTGGGATTCAACCAACAGTTCTGGCTTTCACCAATAACTACGCTTCCTGGAAATCAGCAACATGATCTCCACAATCAACTACAAAGACTAACTGCTAACATGACTTAATTAACACTAAACAAGACTCAAGGACTAAATCAATAAATATCCAATCGACAAACAGACTGAATTGAGTAACACGACACCGTTTTATTTAGCTAGACTCCCATTTGAACTTTGGAGCCAAGTCCAATCCTTCTCCTGCTCGGATTCGGATTGCTCAGCAACTGCAGCTCGACTTCTTCTCTAACAGATCCTCCCCTGAACTGAATCTTCTCGCCATCGTTCAGTTCAACCATTTCACCTTCATATTCCAGCAGCAAACTCAGAGACATCACACACTCCCATCTTGCCCCTCAAAAGTTGAAACACTTCTAGTTTCAGAGGTTTAGTCATAATGTCTGCAACTTGCTCCTGTGTGCCACAGTGCTCGAGCTCAACCACTCCTTCATTTGCCAATTCCCTAAGGAAGTGAAATCGCACATCAATGTGCTTGCTCCTTCCATGGATCACTGGATTTCTTGACAACTTGATTGCTGAACTATTGTCACAGAAGATAACTGTTGCAGCTTTGACACTTCTCTTCCATCCCATATGCTCCAAGATTCTTCAAAGCCAGACACATTGTGCTACACAGTGAGCTGCAACAACAAACTCTGCTTCTGTAGTTGACAGAGTAACAACAGGTTGCTTCTAGGAGGCCCAAGAGATGACTCCACCTGATAGAAAAACACATATCCACTAGTGCTCTTCCTGTCATCCGTATCTCCAGCATAGTCACTATCAGTGTACCCCAGCAGCTCCTCCTCCCCTTCACACCTTCGTTTATACCAGATACCAAAGCTGATAGTTCCTTTGAGATACCTCAGCACTCTCTTAGCAGCTAGCATATGTTGTCTCGTTGGATGCTCCATATACCTGCTAAGAAGGCACACTGAGTACATAATGTCAGGTCTTGTAGCTGTCACATATAGCAGGCTTCCAATCAGCTACTTATACTCAGTGGGATCACCATTACTCCATCTCCACCCTTGTTCATTTTGCTGCCAGGACTCATGGGATTATGCACATAATTGCAGTATAGGAGATTGAATTTGGTCAGCACCTCCCTCACATATTTCTGCTAACTGATGAATACTCCTGATTCCCTCTGAATGACTTCAACTCCCAGAAAATAGTGCATCCTCCCAAGATCTGTCATCTCAAACTCTGATTGCATTGCCTGTTTGAAGTCAGCAATCATCTCAGAGTTGTTGCTTGCATACATTAAGTCATCCACATACAAGCATTTCTTAATAAACAGTGTATGTTTCCATCCTCCTCTGTGTAATCAATGCCTTCCTTCTGAGAATACCCCTTGGCCACAATTCTGGCCTTAAATTTGTCTATGTTTCCATCCTCCTACAACTTTGTCTTGTATACCCATTTCAACCCAATAGCTTCAAAACCTGCTGGAAGTTCAGTCAAAGTCCAGGTATTGTTCCTTTTGATGGAGTGCATTTCTTCCTGCATTGCTGCATTCCACTTGTGATCCAGCATTGCTTCCTCAAAGGTTTGACGATCATCAGTTACAGCTACCATTGCTACCCAGTCAGTGGCTGTGAAGCTCATGTCATAATTCTGGAAATGACTAGGCAACTTGCTGACCCTTTTCCCTAAGTTGGCACTTGGGAGTCCCAAGACATCTGTTCCCATGTCCACTTCATCCTCATTAATGATGTCAACACTTGTTAAACCTCCTCCTGATCCTTCTGGTGTTGCTGGAGTAGTGAGTTGTGGTGATTCTTGATTTGCAGGAACAACTGGCACAGTCAAACTTGCAACATCATCTTCTGTGTCTGAATCAAACCTGTCTCGGTCACCTTTTTACCAAAATACTTGTGTCTGAATAGGCTGCATCTCAGAATCCCATCTCCAACCTTTAGTTTCATCAAAAACTACATCTCTGCTAATCACAACCTTTC